TGCCTTTTTTCTTTTATGTGTTATGTGCAATGCAGAGTTCCTTAAAACACGTCTAAGTTTGTTTTTAGCAAGTTGTACATTATTAATCATTTCTCGATTGCCTTTTTTCTTTTATATTTTATAATTTAGCAATAAACGATAGCTTGAAGGGGTTTAATGGCGAAATAAACCGCGCGGGATGGTTGGGAGAACACGAGAAAAGATCTGTAAACCACGAGCTGTCAGGCGAGTSATCTACRTTTTCYAGTTGTTGTTTTTCTTAGTGGTATGCTGTTGCAGAACTTAGAATAAGCAATTACGAATAGTTTTTATTCAGCTTTTTCATATTCATTTTTTGTTACAAAAATGTGATTTTTAAAAAGAATGTTCAAGATTTCTTCTRGTTTGTGATTGAGGAATTTCATTATCGATTTCTTCTATTGCAACTTGATTATCTTTTCCGATTTCGAACGACTTTGAATTGGATCTGTTGAGAAAGGAAAGYAAATTCATTTTGAGWATTTAACGTTAGATTATCATTGTCTTGGAAAGGGGTCGTTGTCCAAAGAATACTCCAGTTTCGAATTCATAGCGAAAAGCCGCTGCTTTATTTGACAACAGATTCTCTTGCGCATGATCAAACAGAAAAGAGAACACGAGAAAATGTCGCTAATACAATAGCCTTGTAAATTTGCATTTTCCTCGAGTTGAGGCTAATCCTGTATTCCCATGAGACCTAAGTTATGAGCCTTTTGGGAATACAGGGTTAGCTTCAACTTGGGGGAAATGCAAATAATTAGCGCTATTGTACTWACAACGTACATTTTCTTGTGCTTTCTTTTGTGTTTGGTAAGGTCTTTGCGTATGAAGATAGATACGATAGATAGATAGAATTCGAAAATGGAGTACTAAGTGATGCTTTGTTTTATTTTGTTTGTTTGTTTGTTTGTTTTTTTCTTTTTTTTTCTTTTTGGAAGGGATCGTTCCTCATTGCAAATCATTCAAATATTTCGATGTAGTCCCATGAACAACAATCTGAATTCTTTGTGTTGTTATGACAACAGACGGTCTTGTATCAATACAAATTAACTTTTACCTCTTGTTAAACAAGTTTGAGCTCAAATCAGAGATGCGTRCACTCTTCATTTTACTGAATTTATAGTAGTATATCTCGGACATTAGTGTCACCACTGATATTACACATCCAGAACCCAGAACAATAAATACTCCCGCCATGCTGGATAGTTCTACAGGTGTTCGGCCTATGACTGAGAAAAATCATAAGTAAGTTTTTGTTTTTCTTTTATTTCATTATCATTATTTTTTMGACATTTTAATGCTGATTTAAATATTTGGTGGTTGTTGACTATAYCAATAATGTGTAATAAGCTTTGTCCGGCAGTAACGAACAATTGTGTCCCGCGTGGGGCGGCGCAAACTTTTGAAAACCCAGCCTTTGCKCCTTTATAGAAAATATCAATCCCTGTATGCATTTTTAGAGTATTGTTTTCCAATTACACATTAACATACCAGGATAGTGGACCTTTGACACTTCTGGTGTACACTCATTAAGACTCCAGTATTTGTTACGRAGCTTTTCGAGAAATRCTGTATCACGAAGATGAAGTATTCCAAGTGAGATCTCTTTAACYTGGGGGTCGCCATGTCGTAAACCAATGCCATAGCTTTTAGGAGTGGACAAACCAGGTACTAAGATATGGAATAAAAACGAATTACGTTGAATATTCTTATTACCTCATCCAACTGATTGGATTCTGTTCATTATACCTACACAACAACATAAACATGGACAGATCTAGAAGGACGTTCACCCCCTCCCCCCTAACGACACAAACACAAATTTCTGGTTGATCAAGTTCTTGCACCATTTTTAATTGACACCAAAGAAAAATAATATAATCCTGTAACAATATATGTCCTGTTTG